CCCTTCTCCCGCCAGTACGCAACATTACAACTCCACATCCTTTTCTCCCATTTTGTTTGTTGCGTACGCAAACGCAACTTGTATACATTCCCATGTGCCTTGGATAGAAAAAAAGGCCCACAAATGCATAACCTCGTATACTTAGTATTAGAAACCTCTCCAAAAGAAAAAAGTATCACAAAACCTCACCCAATATGCGAAATCACTATGAAATAGTACGAATTCATAAAAAACAAAGGCAAGTCGAACCTTTTTTTTTTCAAGGTGGTATTTGCATATATTATTGGTATTGAACAACATTTACACTGCAAGTACACCACGGAGGAAAACTTGAGAATCGAAAAGAAATCGTTCCAAAAAGTTCAAATGCCATCGAAAAGAACAGGAAAAATTCCCACACTGGCGTTTTGGCAAAGCTCGGCGCGCAATTGGCAAACATCATCGTTCTCGCGCTGTATTTTGCAACTCACTCGGGTTAGTTCACAATTTTTCATTGTGGATTTAATTAAAATCTTTCAGTAACCTACGACCCGAGTACATTAGGTCAACCATCAAATGAACTATTGGTGGAACAAACCACTTCGTATTTGCAACTCTTTTTTATCCAACTCAATCGAATGAGATTGAACTGGCACCTCAGCCACTATGTAGCCTGGTGGTTTGGACAATAATGTAATGGATGCATATAAAATTATAAATCAATGGCAGTTAAAAAATATGGATAAAAAGTTTAGAAGGTTTTTCTTTGTGCGTTTGAACTTTGTAAATGGAGAGAAGTACATTTCTTGTATGGTACACATGGTTTGAATGGATGAAAGCCTTTAGATTCACAGCTACAAAGAACCCTTAAAAAGAAGAAGAAGAAGAAACTACAAATTTCGAACTTAGAAGGCATTTCTTCATGCGTGCAAAGAAAGTAGTATATATTATCATAGAGAACTAGTGGGAGAATCGTAGGGAAAAAAAAGGAGAAGAGGACAAGAAATGAACGAGGGGCTGTTGCGGACTATTTTGTCGGAGTCTAATTATTACACACAAATATTACAGAGGAATATGTATGTGAGATAGGAATATAAGGATATGCAAAATCGACCCAAATACTTTCAACCATACTTTGTTTAGATAACGTTTTGCAAGCAGCAACACAAACGTTTGCACCCGTGCCTTTGTGAAAGTTATATAACTTGTAAGTTGTAACAACATATCTTTTATATTGAAGAACAACTAAATATTGATGGTGTATAAGAGATTAAGAATGAATGGCAATATTAAAAAAAAAAAAAGGTTTAAAACTTAAAAGTATGGATAAATGCTTTAAAAGGTTTTTTCTTTGTGTGTATGACTTGTGCAAAAGTACAACGTATAATCACACGTTTTTCCTTCTTTTGTTTTGCGAAGGAAGTACGATATATCATCATGGAGAACCGGTCGATGAATTGTACGCAGAGAGAGGGAGAAGAGGAAAAAAAATGAACGAGAGGCTGTCGCATAATGTTTTGGAGTCTAATTATTACACATATATATTCCAGAGGAATATGTATGTGATATAGGAATATATGGATATGCAAAATCAGCCTAAATATATGCAGCCAGGGTTGTCGGCGTTCGAGGCGGGCTGAACGTCTGAACCCGAACGCCCGAACGTTCGGCACCCCCTCTCGACGCGTTCAACCGTTCGACCGAACGCGGACCAGAAAAAAAAAAAAATTCTAACAAATCTGAAAACAATGTATGTTATGCAGAAGATAAAACTAAACAATATTTGCCTCAACGTTACATCCAAATTCTTTACCAAATTTGAAATAAAAATCAAATACTTAAAAAAAAAAAAAAAAAAAAAAACCGAGAACGAAATTATTGAGTGGGCGAGCACGTTTTTGACACCACCATCTTTGGCGATTTTTCATTTTTTTTTGGCTGTGACAAATGCCATGAAAGTTTATATATGTGTATCTTACATAATAGAGAATCTACAAATAAAGTCTGAAAAAATAATAGTTTTTTTCATTCCCCGAGATAAAGGAAAAACAAAAAGTGAAAAGAAAAAAAAAATAAATTAGTGAGTAGGCACGCAAGTTTTGACACCACCATCTTTGCGGATTTGTCATTTTTTTTTAGCTGAACAGAATAGCTTCAAAATTAACAGGGGCGTACCTTCCATCACAAAGAACTCACAAAAACAAATTCAGGAAAAAAAAATAATATTTAGGTGCCAAAATATTTTTTTGCAGGGTCCAAGCCCCTTCAGGTTCGAGCCCCGTACGGGGACCCAAACGCCCGAACGTTCGGGGGTCAGCTTAGGGGCCTCCGTACGTTCGGCCTGGCAAGGCTGTATGCAGCCATATTCTGTTTAGATAACATTTAGCAAGCAGCAACACAAAAGCTGAAACATAGATTCATCCACCCATGCCTTTGGGAAAGTTACATAACTTTTAACTGCATATCTCGTATATTGAAGAACAACTAAACACTGATGGTGTGTATAAGAGATTAAGAATGAATGACAATATTTAAAAAAAGAAAAAAAAAAAGTTAAAAAGTATGGATAAATGTTTCAGAAGGTTTTTCTTTGTGCATATGACTTGTGCAGAAGTACTATGCATAGGAACACGTCCTTCCTTTTTTTTATTTTATTATTTATATATATATATATATATCGTCAAATAGAACTGCCCAGTAAACCGTAGGCAGAGAGGGAGAAGAGGACAACAAACGAGGGGCTGTGACAAAGTGTTTCGTCGGAGTTTCACCGACTCATCAGGAGGCTATATATATCTGTTTGTATCGCCAAGTGCGCTCTTTCAGTTCATAGATATATGACAATATATAGTCACACATTAAAAACATGATCTGAATGAATGACAGTAGTACTTACATAGTACCTACACATGGATGTCCTTTGTAATTAAGTACCTACACTTGGACGGCAGTAGTAATTCCATAGTACGTAAGAGTTATTAGTTATTACCGAGCAATAATATATACACCAGACATGAATGAATGTAAGAATGTGAGAAATTAGCCTAGGTACATGCACACTGCAAAGTAGCTACTACCTACACACGGATGGAAGTAGTAATCCCCTAGCACCAAATAATATATACACGTGACATGAATGTAAGAATGTGACAAAATAAGCCTAGATGCATGCACACATAGCACACAATTTTTTCTTTTGTCCATTTGCGTGTGCGCAAATGAATACAGACTTACTCCACACTCTTGAGAGACTCTCTAGTGCCGTGACTTCCGTACAACCTGCTCACACAAGCACCAGGTGCGAACTGAGCGATGACCTCTCACACAAGCACCAGGTTCGAGCTGCGTGATGCCATGCCCTTTCTGCTGACTGCTTGCTCCCTGCTTCCACTATCGGCCTCAAAAGTTGCGCTTTCCCAACCTCACCGCTGCAGTGACAAAGCTGCAAGCGAACGGGTTCCGTAACTTCCGTCCAATCAATACCTTTGAGGTTTTGAATTGTAAAAATAAAATGGGAGCGCGCAGAGGAGCTATGCCTGCTCAAGGTATGGATCGCATCACTCCCTCACCGAGCAGGAAAAGGAAGTCGAAGTCGATATCGCCAGCTCAAATCATGGGAAGCTCAAGCGGCATGCCGCTTCTTGTGGTCATTGCAAAACCCACCCTCTGCCAAATCCGGCAATACGGGCTGTCTGGGGCATGCAGAAGAACGCATCACCAGAATAGAGATATGCCGAAGCTCAACTTCGAAACTTCCACAAGGAACTTCAAAAAAGTGTTCTTTCGTGGATCAGCGACAAATCCAGAATCTCCAAATGGGTTCAGCACCGTGTAAATCTAGCAGTCTCGATGTAAAATTTCCTGACAGAGCAGCACAGAGCATCACTCTCCAGGCTCCTCCTCCTCCTCCTCCTCCTCCTCCCCAACTTCCCTTCTGCGTCACAGTCATAGATTTCATTCTCCGCTTACATCTTCTTCTCCTTCCCCCCTCCCCTCCCCCCAACAAACCTTTTCTTCTGGAGCTTCCATGCTCTCCCTGGCACTAAGCAATGTCACTGAGCCAGATTTCACTTTCCTGCTAATTCTTCTTCTTACACCCCCCCCCTCCCCCAACACACACACCCAAGCACACCACCCTTCCCCATTTCTGCTTTCCCTCCCTCTCTTTCTTGTGGGTATTACATGCTCTCCCTGGCACTGAAGGATATGCCACTGAGTCCCACATGCGGAAAGATCGAAGTCCCCGAAGCGGAGAATGAGCAGGCAAAGCTGGCAGGGGAAATGGGGACATGGCCAGAGCCATCGAGATGGTTGGCTGCAGGCTATGGACAGGCTTGATAAGAAAAAAAAAAGACCATCTACATGACCGTATTGGCTCTCCTGAATATGCTTTCCATTCGATTCCAAATGGCTATTACTATAATCAGACAGGAGCTTCCAGACTCTTTTGTGCGCAGCGACGCACAATCCTGCCGGCAAAAAGACAACACACCCACCCACACACACACAAGGAAAAACGAAGAGATAAAACGACCAAGCGAGAGAAAACGATCAAGTGAGAAAAAAGTTCAAAAAACGATCAAGTGCTGACCAACTGAGAGCAAGAGCGTAACAGATCAGTGGACACATGTTAAGACTGCCGTCGTCACCCGGATACAACATACAGTCATTATAGCTGTGCTGCATTTGGGGTGTCTTTCAGTCTAAATACATCAATAATGACCGTGTGTTGCATTCGGGTGAAGACGGTAATTGGTCCAGCCAGTTAAGCATGCGCAAACCCAGCACACACACATTTGCATGGGGGCATACCTGCTTGGCCATTCATTCTCTGCATTGGTCATGCATGCTTGGCTTTCATAATGCGACTTCTTTGGTCATCCACGAAGCGAAGAAGACAGGATTTCAATTTAATTAAGCCTTCTATATATTCGCTTACAGGTACGTGGCCTCACAAGCATGTCCGTGTTCACAAAACAATGCAACATGTACAATACAAGAGGAATCGATGTGCAGGTGGGCTCACAAGCACGTGTGTTTGCGCATAACAATACAATTCACACAATACACACACGATGAATCAATGACGATGACGATTGCTGTGGGCTCTCACACTGAACGCTGGCTGCTTTCGCGGCTGTAATTGTCTTCTTTTTCTTTTCTGTTTCTCCAAAAGTGGATACCCCTTAAGGGCCTTAACGTCATTGCATCCATCACGATTTGAATTCATGACCTATCTATCTGCAGTCGCATGCATGTACGATTGAGCCAGCCACCAAAAAAAAAAAAAAAAAAAAAAAAAGAAAGGCATGCAGCTGTGATTATCACACATTCGATGTGGGTCAATTTACAGCGTTCGCAGTCCAAATTGACAAATTGGGAAAATACTAAAATAGCGGGCTTCGGGTGGGCCTCCGACCTTTTAGGATGCAAAATCGAAACGACGGCCGCTGATGGGACTTATGAATGGCAGCCGTCATCGGGGCCCGGCCTCCACACTCTTCGGGAACAAACCAGTTTCAGTGATTTCCCAACAATGGCGGAGGTACCAGTGCTTTAACTTTAACGTTGTAAATTGGAAGAGAGGGAGACATGTTTGTGAGTGAGTGCTTTAACGCTGTAAATTGGAATTTGGAAGAGGGGGATACTGCACTTGATATCAGCTGTTTTTGTAAAAAAACAAATCGAAAACGGACGAAGGAGAGATGGGTCAGAAAAATTCTGACTTGAACACAAGCCATTGTCAGAGTACAGCTAACATCCAGAGAGATGACTTCCTCACCTATTAAAAGTCCGCCGATCGTTCAGATACATCTCAGCAGCTTCAGGGTTCGCTGGACTCGAAGGGTTCGCATCAGTCAAAAGGCTCTGCACATGCACCGACGGCGGACCGATAAACACACTTTCAAGTGAGAAATCGTAAATCGAACAGGCAACAAAGAAAAGCAGCGGCAGCAGCAGGTGGGCAATGAAGAGGACTCGGATGAGGCAGTGCGGCAGAAAATCAGAATCAGAAAGAATCAGAACCACCAGCAGCTTGCCCTTCGGGACGTCCGTTAAAATTGGAACGGTAAAGAGAAGATCAGCATAGCCCCTGCACAAGGATGACATGCTGCTGCATAAATTGAGAAATGGTCCAAATCTTCCAGATAAAAAAAGAGCCAGCAGCAGCAGCAGCAGGTGGAAGAAGAAGAAGAAGAAGAAGAAGAAGAAGAAGAGAAGAAGAAGAAGAAGAAGAAGAAGAAGATGAAGAAGAAGGAGGAGGAGGAGGAGGAGGAGGAGGAGGACGAAAGAAGAAGACGAAGACGAAGACGAAGACGAAAAGGAAGACGAAGACGAAGACGAAGACAAAGACGAAGACAAAAAGGAAGACAAAGACGAAGACAGATGAAGATGAAGTCACAGACGAAGAAAGACGAAGACAAAAAAGACGAAGATGAAGGCGAAGACGAAGAAAGACGAAGAGGAAGAGGAAGAAGGAGAAGAAGAGGGGGGAGGAGAAGAAGAGGGGGGGGTTGGGAGGAAGGAAAAGAAAACGAAGAAGATGGCCATAAAGACGAACATGACAAAGAAGAAGAAGAAGAAGAAGAAGAAGAAGAAGAAGAAGCAGGAGGAGGAGGAGGAGGATTCACAACAGTTAAAAAAGTGGTGGTCGTAATAAATAATCGGAAAAAAAGAAAAGAACCATGAAGACGTGGTAGAAGGAAAGCTGGCACCATAGTATGAGACCCAGAAGCTGACCTGGATTGACGTGAGAATGGTGCTGACATTGTGACACGGCGACCATGCCTCTTGAATGATGTCCATACAAAGGGTTCCATCTCTATAAACTGCAATCAACCAGGACAAGACGTTGTGTGAATATCCTCCGTCACCCACAGTTGGTGAGCATCACGTCGATGATATCATGATTCGAAACGGCTTGATAAGCGCAAATGACTCAGGAATAGATGAAACCATAAAAAAACAGTTGCAAATTGCCCATCACTTCTTTGAAGTCCTTTCCCTCTTTTCCTTTTTGAACAAGTACATTCGCCGAATAAACTCCCGTGCCCATTAGCAGAACAACCTCCCGTGCCGAAAACTGATTAAAAAAAAAAAAACAGAAAGGAAAGAAGACCTTTTCATACTCTCCTGGCACTTGTTTATCCCATCCTTCCTCTCAACTGGAACTGAGACAAACAAACTGCCTGCATCTTTCATCAAGCCTGATCAAGCTTTTTTTTTTTTAACTTTCTTAATTTCTTTCTTTCTGTTTAATACGAGGGCTTGGTCGACCATCAAGAAGTATATCTTACCATTTGGATGAAACACTTCAGATATGAATCTGACCTTTGGCGGCTTCTCCGGATATCGTTCACTGAAACTCAGTTGCAATGAAAAGATTCCCCCTGTGGTTGCCAAAGCCAATTTGTAAACAGATAACCATCATGCATAAGACACATGAATGCGCGCGAGGCGGTTAACGGAGGCCCGAATTTTCAGAAAATTGTCATGCAGTTTATAAGAAAACCCAGAGCCCTGTTTAATCAAAACTTGTCACCCATACATAGAGTGAACACCAGACTAGCTAACAGCAAAAAAAAAAAAAACACGAAGGAAAAAAAAAAAAAAAAAAAAAAAAAAACTTACTTCAAGGCAAAGGTGCACTTTCATGCAAAATTCATCAAAATTTGCCCAACCGTCCCAACCCAAATTTCATAAAATTTCAGAAATTTCAGAAATGACAGAGGAATTTTGAATGGTCCAAAAGACATCAAATTTGACACACAGTAACCTTGACCTAAAACAAAAACAGGCAAAAATTTTGAATAAAATAAAATAAAATAAAAAACACAACATTTGAACCCCAAACCCTAATTTCAGTTTTGGGGCCGTTAGTCAGGGGCTGAAAATGGGGGGTCCCCGTTAACCATTTGTGGCACGCATGCCCCCACCCAGCCACCCATCCACACACACACACACACACACACACACACACACACACACATGCATGCTTTGGGACTGCATGAATGGGCTGGCTATTTAGCAAACGTATTGATTGATTTACAGAGGGATTTCGGACACTACATTGTTTTTCTCCCTCTAGGACCGTCTGGTTTGGAGCCCCATAAGGGATAAAAAGAAGCAAGGGATTTCTAAGTCAAAAGCAGGGGGTATGCCCCCAAGGCTTTTTGGACCCCTGGGCCCATCATCTAGAGGCCCAGAATAATTAGAGATCACCCTGGGATTTTCCCCCCAGGGAAGCCCCTGTTCTTGGGAAGGGAGTCTAGAACGGGCAGGGCTCCACCCTGAGCCTGGTCCAGGGCTCACACTTTTGTCCACGGGTCATCCCCGCCAACAGCCGCTACGGCCCATACCATGTTTCATTTGTGTATAAGCATGATTGATGTCACCACTCCTCTCTTCAAGGCATCGTCGGACGATCTGCCGTGTGGAGTCGTGTGCCCGGGTTGCCTATATGCTCATGGTGTATTGTCTACCGCGTGGGCGCGGGGAACGCAGCCCTAAGGTAGCCAAAAGAGAGAGAGAGAGAGAGAGAGAGAGAGAGAGAGAGAGAGAGAGAGAGAGAGAGAGAGAGAGAGAGAGAGAGAGAGAGAGAGAGAGAGAGAGAGAGAGAGGCTGAATGGCAAAATTGAAATATGGGTCAAATTGCGGCCGCAATCTATTTCGCAGTTGGAATGATTTTTTTAAATTTATGTAGCGTTTTTCCTGGAAAGATCACAACAAAATCTACGAGTACTCCAATTTTCAGGTTTTTTCATGCATTCTTCTGAGCGCGAAAACTCACTGAATTTGGAGTACTTTTTTAGTTGGCCCAAGCATCGCTGAGTGGCAAAAATGGAAAATGTGCTGAATCGGCGCGACGATTATTTCGCAGTCCAAATGATTTTTTGTAAATGTTCTATTATTATTTCTGGAAAGAACACGACCTCATCTATGGATTCTCAAAATTTCAGATTTTTGTGCATGTTCGTCTGAGCACAGAAAATGGCCAAAGTTGCCTCTTGCAAAACGCCTGTTCTTTCCTGACCTCCCTGTTTTGAGAAGACGGGGCTCAACGCCTGGGCCTGAGGGCCCTTTTGCAGTTCACATGCCCTCACTTCTTTTTGGGGTCCGCTTCTACTCGAGGACCGGTCCAATGCCCCCCACTTCTTTTTGGGGTCCACTTCTACCCGAGGACCGGTCCTTCGTTTTTCCAAAAGTCCCGGTTCTACCAGAGCTAGCTGTAGGTAGTCCGCAATTTTGGCAAGGACMGGTCCCCCAATTTTTTTTGCCCCCTAAGAACCCACTTTGTGTCCTGGTCGCCCGCCGCCAAAAATGCGACACCTTGACACAGACGCGGAAGCCCACTATACCGCAGCCTAAGGGCTGCGAACTGTCAGCTCGAGCCACGACCCCCCCCGCTAGGTCTACGACGCTTTGCCTCGAGAACCATCGCCCTAACGCTTCGTGATCCGCCAATCTTCCTCCTGCTTGTGGCTATGCCGAAGCCATCGCTGCGCGCCTATCTCCACACTACGCCTTTTTTTCTTTTAAAGGCTATATATGCCCGCACGGTCTGCCTGCAAGGACTGTGCTCTCACCCCTGTGCTTGCTAAGCGCCGGTGATTGTGGACACCTTCATCTCGCCTTTTTTGCATAGCTGCCTGCCTGGTTACGTACGCGCGAACTGCCGGTGTCGTCGTCTGGAAACTATTGCGCAGGAGCACTCTATCGCTTTCTTGCGACGTGGCATGGCGCCGGGAGTGGTAATGCATTCTGCGTCACTTTGTCCCACCCCCCACCCTCCTTGACCCCCCTTCCCTGCTCCCAGTCCCTTCGCCCTTGGCAATATCCAGTCACTATCCCCATCTCCCCTGTCTAATTGTGTCTAAGGAGCCTAAGCCATTCGGTACGTCATGAGGGAGGTTCTCTTCTCTGAAGATCTGGCAGGGTGGAGGCCGGTGAAAAGTACTTAATGGCGAGTTCCATCACTCTCTTATCATACATCGGCACATCGGGGTCGACCTCTTATCATACATCGGCACATCGAGGCCGGTCGACTGAATTGGGACTTCTCTCCGATATACCCCCTCCCCCTTCGATTGCTTACTCCGCCTCTCCTCATCACATGGGGTATGCAGTGCTGACCACTGTTGCTCACCCCTTGTTTTCGACCTATTGGCCCCTTTGGTTGCATGTGCGTTTTGCGCGCTCCAATACTACGCCGCCCTTTACTTCCTTTCTGAGGGCACGCAACGAGACTCTCACTCGACGGTATTCTACCTGGCCGGGCTTCATCAACCATGAGGTGGGCCAACACTGGGACCGACCGCGCTGACGACATTTACCTACCATGCGGCGGGACGACACGCCGGAGAGCGGCACGGCGATATCATTGCTCGACGTTATTTTACGTGACCGGGACACGCCGACCATGAAGCGGACTGACGCTGCGAACAAGGGGCCTACTTTATCCGGCCGGGACTCACCGACCATGGCGCGGGCCGACACCACGGGCAAGGGGCCCCATGGGACCAGTCGAGTTCTCTTCCGAAGGGGCGGTCCCGCAGGGACCACTTAGGCCCAACTGAGTGATGAGACCAACTTCCACCTTCGGGCTCCGCCTGATTTTTCCTAAGGGCGGTACCGCTGCAGCGTGGGGACCGCATAGGCCCGGGCAAGCCTGGGACAGACTCGGGGACAATTGCGGTACGAGGGCGCTGCAAAGGGCCCAGTTCCCGATGAGTAGGCCCTTTTCATCGGGTCCTTTTCGAGGGCCCAATCAGGCCCGGGCACAGGCCGGGTACCGGGGCGCTGCAAGATCTCGGCAGCCTCGATGCTCACGAGGACCGGGTTGGCACTTGAGGGAAGGGCCCAGCGGAGTTCTTAAGCCGAACTGGGCCCGGGATCGGGGGATTCCTCACATGCGAGCTTCAGGCGCACGGACTGAAACGCGCACGGGTGAGACGCTCGGGAGGACAATTGCAGGAGACAGAGGTGCACAAACATTTGTCGCATGCTTGAACACAGGTGCACAGGACACTGGCGCACAGGAGCGGAGCACGCACCATGAGGCGCACGAGACAAGAGCGCACGGGGGAGACTAGACGGAGGAGTGACTAGGAGCCCAGGTGGTAAGTACGAGCCGGACGGGAGTGAGACGGGCGGGAGGGAAGCGCGCGCGCTGGTTCGGGGAGGGTCGCGCGCGCCCACGCAGACGTTCGCGTACCCATGCGAACGTACACACGCGCACGTACACGAGAGCACTTCTGAACGCGCGCGGGCTCGCACTTGCGCACGTCTCCACACACCACTTGCGCACGTCCGCACACACCCCTTTGCGCACACACCTGCGCGCAGGTACGCACACACACGCGCACCTCTTGAGACTACGCGCACCCGCGCGTGCAACCAAACGCACCCGCGCGCACGAGAGCGAACTCGCGCTCGTTGATCATAGAGACTATCACGGTAGAATCAGTGACTGAGGTGAAGTCGTAACAAGGTAGCCGTAGGGGAACCTGCGGCTGGATTGACTCCTTTCCAATATACATACCCAGATTTGATTTAATGTCGATCTAATCAGACTAGTTACCAAAGGCGCGAAGCACAATTCCGAGTATCCGGGTACTATTGTAGGACGTGAAAACACCCGATCCCATTCCGACCTCGATCCGTGAAATCGTCTTACGCCATATGTACTGATTTATTTTGGGAGACAAGAGAGAGGACCTCCGGAGAGGGCCGCGCGCAGCTGCACTCACCCGTGCGCACAAGCGCGCACTCCCGTTTAGGGAGAGGGGACCACCGGGGAGAGCCGCGCGCAACTGCACTCACCCGTGCGCACGAGCGCATGCTCCCGTTCAGGGAGAGAGGACCACCGGGGAGAGCCGCGCGCAGCTGCACTCACCCGTGCGCACGAGCGCGCACTCCCCTTCAGGGAGAGAGGACCACCGGGGAGAACCGCGCACAGGCGCACTCTCCCGTGCGCACGAGCGCGCGCTTGCGCTCGGAGAGAGAGATCCGCCAGGGAACCGCGCACGGGTACATGCATTCATGCACACGAGCGCTCGCCTGCGGGAGGTAGGAGAGAGCACGGTGGGGGGGGGACCATTGCGCGCATCTAGCACTACCGCGCACTGAGACGAGAGTCGTCGGAGTAACAGCGCGCACCTGCGCTCGCCAGCGCGAGAGAGGAGAGAGCGACAGGGCTCGTCAGGGCGGGGGACGTCGCTAGCACACACACACACACCGCATCCCTGCGGGGGTTGAACGGACACCACGGGTCATCACGCTCATCCTCACGAGATAGCGGGAACAGACAGAGGGGAGGACGCACGCGATTTGAGATCCCGCTCATAAGGGAATGTAGGCAAGGAAGGTGCTTCAGAGCGCCTCTCAAGGC